GTTTAGTTTGCTTTTCATGCTTTCCAATAAAGAACGCAACGAGTTCGCCCCAGTAAACAAACAGACATTCCAACGCAAAGTGTTACTACGCATAGGCACTGAAGCACTGAGAAAATGGAGAGGCCGAGAGCGCCCTTCGCCCGCCTCCTGCGCGACGGCAACGGAGGGGGTCGGTTTGGCCGGAATCTCAAAACTTGCCCGTTGCGCAACCACTACCGCGATACGTTGAAAGGAAACTAGTGTGTGTGTGTGTGTGTTTTTGTTTTGTAAATGAGGTTGCCCTCAAGAACAAGAAATAAAATCTGGAAGCCTCGCCCATTCCCCTCGCAAAACCTCAGAGAAATAAAGAGTAGTGTGAGATGCACACGCAACGCACAAAAACTCGACACCGCGGATGCTGGACGATTCCCGTTCCCATTCCCCCAACCACGCGCACACCTCTCCTTCAATTTCGTGCCCGCCCGTGTTATTTGCATTGCTCAACGACAGAAATGGTCTATAGCGTGGTTTAAGAGGTTGCACGCAACTGGGCCCTCCCCCTCTGTAGATCTACGTAACTCAGCGGTTGTCCCTTTCCACCTTCATGGTGGCGGCGGCAGCGGCGGTGGCGGAGGGGGCGGAGGGGGCGTTGGCAAGCGCAAGAGACGACTCGAATAGCCTTCAGCGTGACGCGTTCCTTCAGTCACGGGAAAGGAATTACAATACGGTAGTGGCGGAGGCAGAGGCGGAGGAGTCGAAGGACACCCAGAAGCCACGCCAGCCACAGGAGGAGGTGGAGAGGGGAGTTCGTACCTTTGCAAGTCGTGTGTGTCCACGTGGTGGTACCCACGACGGCTCCGCTGTTTTACCCCCGGCATCGATCTGCTCGATGAAGTTGCGTCCATGTACTGGAGCAGAAACTTCTTCGCAGTAGCCTCCGTTTGGCGGTACTTCTCCTCCTCATAACGTCGCTTTTCCTCTCGCATGTGGCGATGCGACGCCACCACGCGCAGCATAGAATGATGACTTGCATCGAGCTCTTCGTTGCATTGTGCCGCTCCTTTTGCTGCTAGGCTTCGTGCAACCTCCTCCTCGCGTTGCTCATCTATGCGTTTTACCCCTTCCACCACCGCCTCCACACTGCGAGGCTGACTGCCGTGGCTGGCCATCAAGGCTGCTTTGGCAGTGCCCTGTGAATTAAGTTCTCGTCCATTTGACAAGGCGCTCGCCGTCAATGTGTGCTGCACCGCAGCGTGAAACTCCGACGTGAACCCCTCCTCTGCAGAAAAAGGGCAACTAGAACGGTCGTAGATAGCCTGTCGCACAGGTCTCGGCAGAACACCACTCACCTCCGCGTAGTGAGATTCAGCATGCCCGTCGGAAGTTCGAGCCCGTTTTCTAGAGAAGACACGGCTCCAGACCCTCACAATGTCATCATCAACCGCCGCGGAGAAAGCCTCCGGCAGCGGGGAGAGCGTTCCATCGAGCTCAGCTGCACTGTCGCCACCAAATCCATTCGCGCCACCCTCGCGCAGGAGTTTCTCCAATGCCATCTCGGCAGAGTACCGCGCCCTCCCCTCCCCTGGCCTCGTCCGTGGTGTTTCATGAAAAGGTGACAGTGTAGCTTCTGTGCCGCCCTGATGGCCTGGGAGAGAAGGGGAGGCCACGGCTGCCGCCACCCCGCCCGCCGCATCTGCAGGTGTTGTGACATCGGAACTGCCTGTGCTGTGGCTGCGCACCACATGGGGGTGTTTGCCTCCAACCGACCTGCGGCATAGACGCAGCTCCAAATTTAACCGAGCCCGTTGAAAAAGTTGCATCGCGTCCTCATAATCCTTCGGCTTCGCCTTGTTGATCTCCACAATCTCGTCACCCTTCTTCAACGAGGCGGCCCGGGGGGAGGTAACATCCCCAACCCGCAGCGGGAAACAGTTGCTATAGGTCAAAAAACCCCACGAAGCCGTTTTAGCAGGGCGAGATATATGTACCATTTGGGTTTTCGGCTCTTCAATGGCCGAGCCGTCCGGATGCTGGGATCGACGGCCGCCAGACAGCCGCGGAAATAATGAAGCCTCGACTGCGGGATCCACGAGGTTTGTGGAGGGGAATCCTTCCGGACTGCTCTCCGCCCCGTCCCCTCCCATTGCCTTGTCCAGGATGGAGGTAAGCGCTTGGCACTTTTGAGGACGGCTGGTTGGACGGACGCGGGATCGCGCCCACTCTTGCCGTACAGCGGCCAACGATTTCCCCTCGCCTGCCCACGAGGAGGTACGCCCGTTATGGTGGAAGCAAAAGACTGACGGCGCCTTCCACGCCCTGTTCTTCTTTCTTCTTTGTTGTTGTTGTTGTTGCTTGTTTTTCTCCTGTCGCGGAGCTGTAGAAAAAGGAAACACGTAGAGAACCAGCAAGCAAGAATGGGGCTGCAACTGCTACACGGCGAGAAGCGGATGAAGTCCGTGAGGGGTACTGCGCGCACGCCGAGGCGTAAACGGAGTACTCGATAGCATATGTCCTCAGCACTCCTCACCTCAGTCTCTCTTATTCCGTTCCTGTTTATTCTGTCTTATCTGCCGCCCGCCCAAGAGAACCACAAGTAGTGAGGATGACCAAACCCTTCACAGCGCTGGAAGCAGCGAAAACGGGATAGCCCTCACGATAGTCACATGCAAGAGCAACAACAACAGCACCCTCACAGCCTCTCTCTCTCTCTCACACACACACACACTCACAAATGGCGTGGCCCACAGTGAGTCGTCACCGGCGTCAAAAATTCCACATGTTCTTTTGAATAACCTTCTCTTCGCAGTCTGGTTCTGTTTTTTTTCTTCTTCGCTTCCTATCTCTGTGACCTTCTTCCTACCACCGCCGCTGCCGCAGATGTGATCTTGCCATTCAACAGAGCGGCAAGTGAACTGACGTCGAAACCAAGTCGAGTTAGCAGAATAAAGTAAATGACAAAGTACTGCTCCATCCGCTGCACCATCCCAAACCGCTGTCGCCGCATCGTGGACACAACGTCGTAGACCGTCGTGTCGGTCAACGTCCCCCGCTCCAGGTGGGCCAACACACCGTAGGCGGCAATCAGTGTCCCGGTTCGCCCAATGCCAGCACTACAATGAACAACCACGGGGGCTGTCGTAGGAGACGCCTTCACAATAGACAGAAGGGTTTCAAAGGACGCGGCAGACTGTGGCACCCCGTGATCCGGCCAGCCGGTGTACTGCACCTGCAGCAACTTGTGCGGCGGCTCATTGGGCCGCTGAAGAGTCAGGTAACGCCGCGTAAGCTTCAACTCCCGCTCCGCCTCGCACACCTCCCCTAATTCTCTTGCAATCGTTAGCCCAGCAGTGCCCGGAACGGTAATAGATGACGGCCCATCCCCCTCGGGCCAGTAGCGATCCGCCTTTATAGTCCCTCCCTCCCTCAGTTTTGTGACCATGACAACGAGTTTTACCTTCTTCTCGTAGAGCATCGTCAAAAAGTCCGGTATTCCCCCCACCACTGGTGCTTGACAAGCCACAAACGTGTGGGGCAGACCGAGGTCAATGAGGTTGCCGTTGATGTAGTACTGAGGCGAAGCTTTGGCCGAGTCAGTGGACTGCGGGTAAAGGGTAGCCTCGTTGGCCAAGATGTCCAGGTAACGATTCTTAGACATGTTTTTCAGTGAGGTGGCGAAGTTAATACTTCGTGGATCCTCCTGACGTTGCAGCAGCGCAAATTCACGCTGCATTCGTTCATACTGGGAGGCCAAAGAAAGCTTCGTGAAGGAGTGGCAGTCCGCCCCACCTCTTCCTTCCCTGTTTTGTTGTGTGTCCTTCACCATACGAGGCGTGTCAGTTGTGCAAGCGGTTGTGCACGTACGTGTGGGATCTACTGCAGCTGAGAAGCCAGCACAACAGACATCGAGGAGGGTTCAGTGGGTGTCCAAGAAAACAAAGTGCGTGTGTGCATGTATGTGTATGTGCGTGTGGGTGGGGTCAAAAAGCAGAATCGGTCGCAACAACCACAAACGAGGAGGCGAGAAAGAGAGAGGAAGCAGCAAGAAAAAAAAAACACTTGCACTCGTCCTATTCATTTGCTTGGCACGACCGCCTCCGCGCTCCCATGCAACAGCCACAGTAGGTGCAATGAGAAAGCACGTGACTGGAGCGTGCGCATACACGGCGGCGGCCGTATTCACACAAGGAGCTCGGCGAGAGAGTCCAGATGATGGACTTATGCCTTTATTATTCCGCTGATTCCTTTTTGCTTTTTTGTTTTGCCAATTTTTCTTTTAAATTTCGCGTTAAACTGTCTTTTTATTCTTTGTTAACCGCTTTCGCGCCCCACCGCGCATAAACGTCTTATGCTTCAGAAAGCCCAACAACTAAACGAGCCGACGCCAGGCAAGCTACACCGCAGACACGGGTTCGTCTACCGTCGGCTCGGCGGCGATGCCCAGCCGCAGCTTTAGCCCCACGACATCCTCGTGGTCCACCAGCAGTTGCAGGCGTGTGCGTGCCCGCAAGGCAACGGAGTAGAACACACCACCCACAGCGGCGGGGCAGTCAATCTCCAACAGAACAGTGCCAAGCTCCATCGATACGACGCGTGCCCGCAAGTCGGCATCGTCAATGTCGGTGAAAAGCACATCCTTCAACTTGCCACCGGAGAGAAGCTGCTCGACAAAACGCACGGGAACTCGCAGCAGCCGCGGTGAGTGCTGCATCACCTTGGCGAAAAGGGTGGCAGACTCGCTCGCAATGCGCCAGCCCTTGTCAAGGTGCTCATGGGCAAGCACGCGAAGACCCGCCGACACCACAAGAAGAGAATCGGCATTCCTCCGCAGGACATCCAACGCCGAGGAGGAGACGATGGAGCAGGTCGAACCATCGGAGAGCTTCAACTCACGTTGCCCTGTCGCAGTGCGCACGACGAGCTGCCGGAGAGGAAAGTCCTTCACTTTATAGAAGTTGATCACCGCGTCAGTGATGGGCGCCGGCGCCGTCACGTAGGTAGGAGGAACCCGTTTCTTGCGGGTGACGCCACCCGAGTCCTCCACAGCCTCGGCCTCCCCGCCCTCTATTCGCCCCCTCTTTCCAGCGAGTATCCCTTTGCCGCCGCTATCGCCACCGGAGTCGTTTTTCTCACTATCATGGCTATTCTTACCCTCTCTCTCTGCTGCTTCACTCTCCTCGCGTTTCTGCAGTCGAAACTCCTTCACCTTATCCATCACTGCGATAAAGAAGGCACCCCCACCGCAGTGGGAGGGGTACAGCCGCATACACAGACTAAGGTCCAAGTCATCCACGGCATCGGAGGTGTACGCCGCCGGGGTATTTGGAGGAAAAAGTGCCTCGTGCGCCTCATCCGACGGCGCTTCAACCACGTCACCCTTGAAATTGGTTACAACCCAACGCTGCAGACCTGGAGCGCACTCTAGGCCTGGCAGAAGCGGACGTGCGTCAACGAGTTTCATGGCTCCGCGGGTGCGGTGCACAATCTGCGCCACAACTGCCTCATTTTCAACAGGATTCATAGAACAGGTGCTGTACACAACACGACCGCCCACGCGAGCCAGGTGACAGGCACGCAACGCAATTTGAATTTGCGTCTTCTGAAGGCCGATGGCCTCCCTTGGAGACCAAATCTTAAAGACATACGGAGCTTTTCGAAGTGTACCATCACCGGAGCAGACCACGTCGCAAAGTATCTTATCGAAGCGCAGCTCCTCCTCCTCGCTGCCCGTCGACGGAGTTGCAGACTTCACATTGGGAAAATACCGAGCGTCATGATTTGTAAACAGGGCAAAGGGGAAAAGTAACCTCAACCGCTTCACTTGATGCACCAACATGTTGGCCCGCTTTGTGTCGAGGTCATTTGCCACCACAAGGCCCTCGCTCTCATAGTCAAACGGAAACGGCGAAGCATTTGAATCTACCGGCACCACCTTGTGCCTTCCCAAGGCAACAAGCATTTGGGCCGTTTTGGACCCCGGCGAGGCGCAC